TATTCTCTCTTATATCAAGGAATAAATATATATACTAAAATCAAATTTAAATTAGGATAAATGTGTTAGTGAAATAATATATTAGTTATTTTAGTATTTTGACTAAAAAAATAACGTTGATTAAAAGAGGTGCAAAATATATTATAACCTTATTGTTTATTATGCTTAACACTGATTAAAAGAGATGGAAAATAGATGATAATCCTATTGCTTTATATACTTAAACAGACAAAGCATGTGAAAATAACTCATTTAATATTTCTGTCCCGTGCATCGCACAGGGTACGTACTAGTATAAAAATAATGAAATAACATATTACAAATAAAATGAGTTCTTAATAAAAAAAAAAAAAGGTATACTAAATAATTAAATAAATACTTAATATATATTATAGATAAATTAGTTCTTTTGTTTGTTTATTTAATAGAGTGATTTCTTTTCATTTTGGTTTTGACGTTCTTTTAAGAAAAATATTTATACCTGTTTCGAATTTAATACATCAATGGTATTACAAACTCTTCTTAATTCATTTGGCAAAATATCTACTTTATTCAAACATTTAAAAATATTTTGGTCAAGCATATAGTCAAATTTCATGATTGTATAATCTTTGTAAAGTATTTCTACTAAAAATACATGAATATCTATGCAAATAACCAAATGTGTCACTAAAATTGCTCATTTTCTTATCATTGTATAAACTATTACGTTAATATCCCTCATTTTAATTAACTAGTACAGTACCCGTGCGATGCACGGGGGCTTATTATCTCTGTCTCTTTTAAAAAACAATTTTTAGTTAAAATTAAAAGTACTTACTAAAGAAAAGAGCAGGTCATTAATAATTAAAAAATTAATAAATATAAGAAAAATAAAATCTATATATTATTGAGCATTGTCTTCTATACAACGTTTATGGTTTGATTTTTTGTCACGTCATCTTCTTCACAAATTAGGATTGTCAAACCATTTCTGTTTGTGACACGGGAGACAGCAATATACAACTGATCATGATAAAACATTGTTTTCTTAAGAAATAAACCCCACATACAAATGATTGTCACTGCTCTTATTTATAGTCATGTCATAATAAACCATAATGGAAAACTATGGGAAACTACCAACGCTGGAACTTGAAAGGAATTCTAACATCAGAAAAAGTTATAGCCATTTTTGGAGTCAACACTTTATCACCTGCGTGATCGTCAATGAATATCTTACACCCAAGAACGTGAGTGGAGAACTTTGTCACAACCAATCGTATCCCATTACACAGACCTATAGAAGAGATATAGTTACTAAAAATAAATTAAAAATGATCGGATTAGCTTAAGAAATAAGATCATGCTTATCAAGGTGATATAATGTTTACCAAAATTAATGGAATTTGTTACAATTTAATTTGGTAAGGTTTTTTTGATTGATTGAAAAAAGAAATATTTAATTTTGTTATGTATCGTTTATCAACTCTCGAGATTTTTCTGCAATATTTAACTCCAAATAATCCAAAAAAATTGTGAAATTTGTCACCAAAAGAAATCCCAAAGATTATCGGCAATATATTGTGTGCAAATAACTATGAAGTTTGTTATAAAAAAATATATATATTAAAAGATTTGTTATCACAATCCGAGATTTGTTATCACAATCAGGTCAAATTTGTTAATAAAATCCGAGATTTATTATAAAAATAAGATCAAATTTATTAACAAAATTCGATTAAATTGGGTGACATGTGGGGCCTATTGATAACGCTTATATTAGTAAGTGAACAATTAATCTTTTTTTTTTTTTGAAGATTATGAGCCATATCAATGTGACATAATGTTTACCAAAATTAATTTAGTTTGTTACAAATTAATTTGGTAAGTCTTTTTTGAATAATTGAAAAATAATATTTTTATTTTGATATGCATCATTTATCAAATCTCGAGATTTTTTTTTTTTTTTTTTTTTTTTTTTT